AACCAAGGGCCGGATTTTGTCCACTGGGCGGACCTTTGCTGGAAGACGAAGAACGGAGACCACGCTGGTATGGATCTCATCGATAGAGGACTAGTAGATGGGCGATGGATATATCCCCCCATAGCAGACGTGAGAAGTACATAACGTGTCATTGACGACAGTTGAGACACCCACTCCGCACACCAATGGAGCGGGCACGCTTTTTACGGGCCCATTCTTCCTGTCGGGTGCCACTCTAGCACGGACTATTGCGTATAAAGGGATGGGCCAAAGCGGAGAGAAGAACAGGGGGAGCATGAAGCGAGGAGAGGGGTAGAACAAGATGCCAGTCTATACGGCACTTGAGAATTGGCATCACGGGTGACCGTATGCTAGCAGGAAAGCAGGTCTCGATGTCTTGAAGCCGGCCCAATGGACCAACCTATCCATAAACGAAACGTCCCGCCCAATGACGACACAGTTGGTTGTTGGGTACCTTATGACGTCGATCTAGTACATGACATGGGTCTTCTGGCTACGGCCGACGACCTCAGTTCAATTCGGTGGATTCGGCCAATGGGGAACAGGACTAGAGGGTCAAACAACTAGCTACGCAGCTGCAACAAAGAAAAAGAGCATTGGCCAGGTGGTTGTGAAGTTCCAAAGCCAAGACTTCGCATCGTACAGCCACATGTTTAGGACGTTGTGATCTTCAGGGTCTTCCTTGTGCAACGAGGTCTGCGGGGAGACGGGCGCTCGCTGGTAGAAGGGCACATGGTTCTTTCGCGTGATTGGTAAGTGTAACTTGGACTCGAAATATTTCTGGTTTGGTTCTCGTTTCTCCAGATTATCCCAGGTGGTCAGTCTTTGCGAAAGCTGTAGTAGCACCCCAAAAATTGTCGAAAGAGTGATGCAATATGGGATTTCTAAGGGATTCCCTTTTGCCACTTGTGATCCAAGGGGGGAGCTGTGCCCACGCTGCTGTTTATATACTGTAAACAACTATGCGACAAGAGATTGAGGCTTAGACGGAATCCGCGTCATGCCTGTTGCAAGGGGGGATAGACCGGGGGAATCGGGGATAATGCTCAATCTCACAGGATGCATAACTAGGTCATGGAACAGCGGAGCGGATAGGATGAGATGAGATTGCCTTGAAACGAAACCTTGAATGACCCATCACCCGCGCTATCTTCATTTCTTATAGAGAATCTATCTTACCTACTTAGTTAGGTACCCAACAACGGTAGCAGGGTACTACGTAGTAGATCTCTTCTAAGGTGCAGGACATCCCGGGAGAGGGTATGGCAAAAGGAATTCCCCAAATTATGGCCTATCTTTATTTATTTTTTTAGACGCATTTCCGCTGGAGGGACGGAGCAGTTGGCAATGTGACCTGGGGTGGATATTGGCAAGACAGGGAGGGAGGGAGGAAAGGATAATTTACCTTACTGTGGTGCACGTATCTTGCATGAATACCTCCACAGTCAGATAGCTTCTTTGTTTTTTATTTTTATTTTTTTTTTTTTTGAAGGTGGTCGTTGGGAATTGCCTTTGGGGGCGGTCAAGCGAGGTTGAAAAATGACATCATCTTACAGGGTGGTTTTCTTGCTCAAGGTTGGGTGCGGAGTTATGGTTGGCTATTGACCCCGGTGAAGGTCCATACATGCATGTGCAGGGGCTGCCTCAATATTGGCAGGGATAAGGCAGCTAAGTCGTTGGATACACACCCCTCCTCTTCTTTATCAATCGCGCCACTACACGTACTATAGTGTACACATACCTAGGTACCTTTAGTCATGTGTACCTACCACTGTATCTCTACTTAAAGCATGGTGGTTAGGTTCTCCACAGCAGAATTCGACGTTAGAGGGTACCTCAGATACAGCAAGATTCGGACACTTTAAAAGCGATTAAGAACTGCTACTTCTACCTTAGGTACAGTAGTTAATATTAATATACACGCCTTATTGTGTGTGTACTTCATAGTATGCGCATTTCTTAAACGGGGTTGAGGATGGGTATTGGTCAAATACCATTCCTAAAAGCTATGGGAATGCGTTTGTTGCGCATGAGGATTATTGTTGTAGTGGTTGGAATATACCTACGCTTTTAATGTCGCTTGCGTATTTTAGGTAGATATTACTATACCGTACGATATTCACTTATCGCGTATCTAAAAAAAATGCCTCGGAGAATACCTAGTACCCTCACCAGTGACTACTATAGTACTTAACCTGATACTAATAATATACTATGTAATAGATGCGATGCAATGGGTCATCTCGCTAATTACATCCATCTTTATTCCTTTAATTAATCAGATAGATTCCTTATATCTCATCATCGTTGGTAACTTCTTTCCATCACGGTAGCAGTAGAGATGTGGACTTTTATTACTCCTTTGCAAAGATTAGGTACTCTATTTATCGTAATGCACTCGGGGGTTGGGTGGACATGATATGATCTTTCTTTCTTTTCTCTCCTGCCACCAGTCAGTCAAGTCAAACTTATTTTTTTCCTTTTTTTTCCACATCTCACCGCCTATTGTTCAGCAACAGCAACAGCAACAGGTGGACGTGGTTGTATGTAATGTAATATGCACGCACGCACAACAAGCACAGGCACAGGCACGGAGACAGAAACACATACACATATACACACACATAGAGAGAGAGAGAGAGACCATAGGAAACACCCAGAGTCTAAACCTCGCAACCCAACCATCCGTTTTGAGTGGACGGGATGCGGCTTCTCCGTTCCCCCTTCCCCCCCTTCCACCCCTCGAGAGAAGAAAACCCGGGGTTCCCTTGCACCAGTACCGGTACCAGTACCACACCCTTCCCTTCCCTTTTTTTTTTTCTTTTCTGTAATATACCTAACCTAATGTATGTGCTGACTTGCTCATGCACCGACTGCCGATCCCTGCCGAACTGCGTGTGTGCGTGGTCAGAAAAAAAAAGAGTCTGTAATACGCTACGCACCTCCTATACACTAACTACACTACTACATCTAAGATCTAGGTATACACAGGTAGGTACAGTATAATGGGACATACTATGTATACATATCTATACTGGTACGTATATACCTAGGAATGTAAGGTATGTATGTATGTGTATAGGTACGTCCGGCAGTTGGGCTAAACCGGTTCGTCCTCTCGGAGTTGCGAGCAAGACATTGACTCTAGCTAGATGTGTACCTACTTACACGTGTGGTCGTCACTTTCGTTCACGTACGTTAAGGGGGAGAAGAAAAAGAAGGGTGGGGAGAGGGAGAAGGCGAGGTAATTACGCAATCGTAGGGTTTGTCTAGGGTTTACTATCTGCTGTTTACTGTGCTATAGGTATCTAGTATATCTGATATGAATGGAAAAGGGGGCACATGGAGAGATTACATGAGAACGAGGAACGAGGATTAGGGATAGGGATAGGAATACTAGGTAGGGAATAAGTGTTATTAGAATCTACATACACGACGGCGCAGCATTCGTCACAAGTCTCTTTTTTTGGCCCCTTTTCGAAGAACCGCCACCACCGCGGCGTTGCCGATCTATCTAGATAGACAAGAAATGGCTATGCGCGTAAAATCCCATCCCATCCCATCCTTCCCTTCCCTTCCTTCCTTCCTTCCTTTTCTTCCGAGCATCCTTCGGACATTTAGGTAGTAGGTACATACACATACACATACACATACATACATAGGTATATACCTACTTCGTACATAGAAGCAAGAAAGAGGAAAAGGAGCGCCGTTCCAGAATACTGGAACCCAGACTGCCGGAATCCGGGAAGGAAGACGCGCTGAAGAGGCAAAAAATAGAAACACAAGAACAGAAACAGAAATAGTAACAGACTTCGACCCTTTTTTTTCGTCCAAAACCCGTTTCCCTTTGAAGTATATGATAAGCCTTCCCCTTCCCCTGTGGTGTGTGGTTCCCGTTGATCGGCAGGGCCGCGCCGTGTTGTATGAGCCGCAAAAAAAAAAGTGAACCCTTAAGGGCGAAAGAAAAAAAAATTAAAATAAGGGGGAAACGTGAGATCAATCAACCCGTGCTGAGGATTGGCAGTACCTTGGTTAAGTTAGGTAGGTAGGTACCTAAGGTAATCCCCATGCCAATCCTCAGGTAGATAGATGGAAGAGTTCTAGAAGTTATACCGTACTGTGTAAGTAGGTAGGTAGGTAGTTCGCTTCCAAATGTTCGTAAGAACATCATACGACTGACTAACTGACTAACTGGCTAACTAACTAGCTGCTAGTAGATACAGCCCAGGAGTCAGGACACCTCAGGTAAGGTAGACGTGTATCTGACGACTTCTCTTCTACCTAACCTAGACTTCCAAAAAGCTACCTCGTAGGAGAGGGAGTTTCTAACCCAAAGATTTACTTGCTAACTACAGCAATTATATTAATTAACTTACCTAGGTAGGTAGAGAGAGAGAGCGTACCTACCTACGTACACTGGTAATTACGATAACGTGGGTTGGCAACACTGTCGAGTTGGCGCAACGACCAAGGAGTTCGATATACATAACTACCTACCTAGAAGTATACGAACGAAAACATCCCATAGTCACGCCACTCGCTCCCTTGAAAAGGCGACGACCAATTTGATCAATGTGTAATCGTGTACATACATATATATATCCGCTCTGGGACCCAACAACTTACGTTTCCTACGTCACTAACTTTATCAACCCAGGCGGCGAGTATGCCTACGTACGTGGTATCGTGCTCGTTGCTCGTTACTTACTCTACGGCTCCAGTTGGCGATACCTTCGTTGGGGGGGGGGGGGGGGGGGGGGGGGGCGGGGGGCGGCGGGGGGGGGGGGGGGGGGGGGGGGTTGTGGTGGTGGTGGGGGGGGGGGGTGT